GGCCCAAATCCGACCGCCGCCCCCAATCGGAATCGCCTCCGCTCGTCCGACCCCAAACAGTCCGATTTCTATTTTAAGGTTATTTTTTATGATTTTTCTTTGATTATTGTTTCTTACTACACATTTGCAAGGATTAGAAATATTTTGGATAATTTGCCCCGCGCTTATACATTAGCTTTTTATTAATTAATCTTATGCTCATCGAAGTTTTGCTACATTTTTTACCTCGATTTTTGTGGTTGTTTCTCAATATTTAGATTATGAAATATTCTCTAATTATTTTTAGTAAAGAATATTATAAAGGATTTGTTTTTTTTTTTTTTATGAAGAACTACTTAACTTGATCTTATTTATCTTGCATGCACACATAATAAATATATTGTGATTGAATTTTATAGTAAAGAATATTATAAAGTATTAAGATCTATATCTTTGTAATAGAATTATCAATTTGAATCTATTTTCTCATAAGATCTAAATCAAATTACATTTACCACAACATATATAATTTGTAATCTCTTTCAAAATAATTACAATGACCCCATTTATTGATATATCATCAAAAAATATCTTGAACGGGCATGAATCTTGAGGCAAAGATGAATTAGAAACTTTCAAAATTAATTATGGGACCATCCGAACTCCAATTTCAAGCTTTCAACAATCATATAGTCGGACTGTATATCTCGAAAAGACGAACCCAACGACAATAAATTACACCAAATGGATCCAAATCAGGGGCGGCCTGGCCTGAAGCATTTTTGAAATGTTCAAAGCATAAGTTGAAGAACCAAATGATTTCCAAATGTGACATGTATATAGTCAAATCGAGCGGCTCAACGAGATGAATCCAACGAGCCCATGATTGTTAAATTCTAACATCATCAAGATACTCAAATGGGGGAATAAATAACCAGTGATCAAATAAATCAATATCGGTCATCCATGAAAAAAACTCTCAATATACCTGGCCTTGATCTTATTCATATTTACTAAACATGTCACTCTAAAAAAATTATAAATATATCCCTCATTCTACACAAAAAGGGAAAGAAAAAGAAGAGAAAGAAGAAAGAGAAATATGAGATATCTCTTTCCACCAAGCTCCTTCTCAACCATCGTCGGACCACCGTCGTACCACGGCCAACTGACCACCATCTATCGACGAACTTCTTCCTGGCCACCAACAGTCACTAGACTTCCGCCCGGCCATCAACCGTAGTCTTATTTTTTCCTATCCACCAGCTGTTGTCAGACCACTTCCTGGCCACTAGTCGTCATCGGACTCTCACCCAGCCAGCGACCATTGTCAAACATCTGCCCGGCCACCAGTGTGGTCAGACTTCTGCCCAGCCAGCGACCATTGTCAGACTTATGTCCTACTCCTTAAATTATTGTAATTCCAACATCCTCAAATTAAAGGACGGGTCACACGTTGTAATTCACTCAATCTGATGGAATCACTTCAATTAAGCGTGGCCCCATGATTTTTCCTTTTTCTAGGGTTTTTCACGTAAAAATCATATTGTTCTCATCTTATTTGTTTGTGTGTTGAATATATGTGCAATGCTAAGACAAAAAAAAAAAAAACTCCATCACTTTATTGTCGTATATATTCTAGCTCGCAACAAGCATATCCGATTTTGCAAGCAATTTTGAATTTGAATTTAAAATTTATATATCTGATGCGTATATAAAATCTCAAATATTAAAAAAAATTAATTGGAATAGTTAGAGGAGCGAGAGGATTCCCTAGCCGTCTTCTCCCTTGCGACTGCTTTTCCGCCTTCATCCCTCCGGCTGCCACCGGCCAAGGCCGGTGGTCCTCATGGATTTGCATGATTCTCATCATTTTCCAGCTATGGCTCATGCTTCTGCATGCGTCTCTGCTCCTGCTTCCCGTTCTCTCGACCGCCTTTGGTTGAATATCATTTCTGAACCTGGACCGTCAGCTCCTCACATACTAGTATCCCTAATGGAAACTCCGGAGGAGATCATCCCTTTTGATAAAGACTACACTGAGCCAGCTGCGGTGGAATGGAATCTCTGCCTTGTTGGCTATTCGGTGGGTAAGCATCCTTACTATGAAGCTTTGAAAGAAACTGCCATGAGTATATGGAAGCTCAAAGGTACATTTCAACTTATAGCTCTTACGGATGGGTTTTTTCTGTTCAAGTTCTCTTTATTGGAAGATTATGACATGGTGTGGTCTAAGGGGGCTTGGTTCTTCCATGGAAAACCATTCATTTTTCAGAAATGGACAAAAAATTTCAGTCCCACCAGAGAAAACTTTACATCTGTACCCATTTGGGTTTGGATTCACAATCTCCTTCTAATCTGTAGGAACTCTGAGGGAATCTCAAAAATTGCTTCCAAAATCGGAATCCCTATAGCGGTAGATGCCTTAACTGCCGCAAAAACCATACTAACCTATGCTAGAGTATATATACAAGTTTCCACTACCTCTTCTTTTCCTGAGAGTGTAGCTGTAGCGATTGAAGGGGATGTTATCAGAATGCAAATTCAGTATGAGCGGAAGCCCATTCCCTGTGCGTCTTGTGCATCTTTAGCTCTTCAAACCTTGAACTGCCCCTCCTCTCAGCCTTCTAATCAGAATCCTCCCAATCAAAACAGAGGTCGTAGCTCCTCAAGGAATCCCAGGAATCATAATCAACTCAGAAAATTCTCGGCAAGCAATAATAGGGTGAACGTGGCAGGGTCTACTTCTGTTACACCCAAACTTATTCCCAATGTTGTTACTTCCCCTGCTTCCACTCTGGCCTTAGTTCCATCTCAGGTTATTTGGGTCCCAAAAGATAGTGGCAAAAATGTTGTGGTGGCTGATCATGCTGAACCATCTACTGAAAAGTATTTTGCTATTCCTAAGAATCACAATACTGAGGTGTTGAAAGAAACTACTTGTGATCCCACCGAAATTGACAATATTCCCATTCCAAATCTCAACTCTCCCACTATAGCTGATATTGGAGAAACTGAATTACCTCATTCCAGTACTCCTATTTCCCCCTAGTTGCAGGTGTGCAACAAGTTCTCGTCTCTCCAGGAATCCGATGATATACCTATTGCAAAGAAAGGTGATGATGTTCTTCTCCCTTCTACCTCTGAAACTGATAGCTCCTCCTTCTCGGAGCAGGTTTCCAATTCTGGGGGGGAGTAAAAGTAAATTAAGCCAAGAAAACACAGGGGAAAAATGCTAAAGGAAAGAGTTCCAAAAAGCCTCCTACCACCTCTGCTAAGCGTAAATGATCTGTACTAATATTGCAGCTTGGAATATTAGAGGTTTCTCTTCCTCTAATAAGGTGTCTCAATGTAAACTTCTTATTCAATCGTTTCGCTTGGACATGCTTTGTATTCTAGAGAATAGAATCCAACTCTCTAGCCTTTCTGATCTGAGCTTCCTCAACTGCCATAAGGTATTTGATCTAGAATCATGTTGCAACAATTTTGACTATGCCAATCATGGTAGGATCTGGATAAAATGGAATTATGATAGGTTGGATTTTCAACCTACCTTCTTCTCTTCACAAATGATCGCTGGTATGGTCTCCTTTGGTACTAGCTCAAAGGTTAACGTCTCTAAGCATCGGTTTTTATTCAAAAATTACTGGGTAAAAAGTGATCACTTCTGGTGTCTTTTGATGGGTATTTTTGGCACCAAAGCCACTGGTAATCTCTTAGTGGATCTTGCCACCAAACGTAAGCAACTGAAATTGGCTATAAGAGATAAACCTTGGGCTAATTCTATTATGATGGCTGACCACCTTAAACTGCTACAAGATAAGCAACTTGTATGCCTTAACAAGTTGAATTCTGATGTTGATTTACATCAAGGTTCTTTGGAACTTAAAAACATTAGTAATCAGCTTGAGGTGGCATCTTCTATGTGGTATTCCTGGCTTAAACAGAGAGCCAAATCTAAGTGGCTAACGCAGGGAGAAGAGGATTTGAAATTTCTATATTCTAAAATTCGGTTAATGAGAAGTTATATAAATACTGTCATCACCTTAGCTATGAATAATTCTAGGTCTTCTATGTCAGATGCTATTCATGATTCTATATCTTATTTCTACAATCTTTTCAATGCTTCCAATCATTCAGGCTTTCTCTCTGAGCGCTTCCCTTCTGGTGAGGTTATTTCAGATGTAATGGTTGAGTCTCTTGTTATGCCTTTCACTGATCAGGTTATTAAGAAAGTCGTCTTCTCTGGATCTTCCAACTCTTCACATGTGAGATCTCGTTCCTTTGCTGTAGCTGTAGCTGCTGGGAAAAGTGAATTTTTCCCAGGATCGGCCGGGACGATAGTGAGATCGTCCAGGCCGATCTGCACTGTAGAAAATATCGTCCTGAGAATAGTTCTGGGAGTCGTCCAGGACGATCGATTTTGGTCTGATCGTCCCGGGACGATGTGGCGATCGGCCGGGCCGATCCCACTAATGATATAAGAAAATGAGCTCGTTTTGAGGAGAGAGAAAACATTTATAAAAAATCAGATATTTTGAGGAGAGAAAGAGCGGAAAAGCAAAGGAAGAAGTCCGATTTCGGGGCCCGCGGAGCGATTTTTGTCGTTCGTTGCTGTTGGAGATTTTGTTTGTCTCGCTGTAAGGACTCCGAACCCTATTTCTGTTTTCAAAGATATTGAGTTTTGACCGAGTTATGATTTGTTTTGTGTTTTCGTAGT